TTTTTTAACAAGAGCTTTGGCCATAAAATCTCTATTAGAGCCACAGTAAAGTAGGCTAGAGCTCATGTGAGCTGCGAAGTATCCTACTATGGCTCCTTTCAGCCAGACTAACTCCCTAAACTTTTTTTTTTAATCCTCACCCGAAGACATTACTGCATTTATCTTCAGATAGAGCATGAGGGAGAGAAGGGGGAAGAGAGAGAGAGAAACATCGATGTGAGAGAGACACATCAATTGGTTGCCAGCCACACAACCCCAACCAGGGCCGGGGATGAACTGCAACCGAGGTACGTGCCCTTAGTGGGAACTGAACCCAGGATTCTCTGGTCCATGGGCTGACACTCCAACCGCTGAGCCAAACCGGCCAGGGCTAACTCCCTAAACTTGACCATGAGGCCCTTCAGTTCAGTACTGACATACAACTGATGAGAGGAAAACCCAGGGAAGCCCACATTCTAGGACTGGAAGAGGGGGAGCCAAGAAGGTTCAAGGAAGTTAGCTGCCATGTCACAGGGATGATCAAGCAATCCTTGGAAGAGTTTTACGTGGCAAGAAAGTGAGGCCTCCTGTCAACAACTAGCAAGGAACTGATGAGGCCCCTACCAACAGCCCAGTGAGCAAGACACTCCGCAAGCTGATGCTCCACCTCCAGTCAAGGTTTCAGAGACTACGGCCTCAGGTGAGCACTTGGACTGAACCTCAAGAGAAGTCCTAAGCCGGAACCACTCAGCCGAGACTGCTCTCTAATTCCTGTCCTCAGGAACTGTGTGAAGCACAGCATATTCCTCAGCTGTGGACAGTGTGTTACCCAGAGCACATAACTCACGCAGGACGCAGCCAGGAAGAACTTCTCCAGGGCTTTCCCCTTCTCTGTGTCCAAACTGAACTTCCACACACTTCTAGCTGCTTCTCTCTTGGAACCTCAGGCTTCTATTAAGGTCTTCTTTTTACCCGTTTTCCCATGTTTGGTTCTTCTCTTCCTCACCTGCCTTCGAAGAAGGCAACTGGTTCTCAAAACATTTTTCAGTTCAAGGACCCATTTTATAGGATTAAAGATTCCCCCAAACTCCACATCCCATCTCTTTCCACTTGTCAGTGATTCAAATCAATAAAACAGCAACACTTCACAAACTTCTATGGAGCTAAGGATGGCTTTGGAAGGGCCATTAAATGAAATAATGTTTGTTTTTACTGAGTGCTCAAAATAGGTTGAAAACTTATCTAACAGTAAAAGTACAAATGTTTTCCAATTGCATGCTCTTAAAATATATAGGAAACTCCATGGCTCAACTCTGAGACTTTCTGCCACAACTTATCAAAAATAAAAATCTAGCCCTAGCTGGTTTGGCTCAGCGGTTAAAGCGTTGGTCCGCGGACCAGAGAGACCGGGGTTTGGTTCCCGCTAAGGGCATGTACCTTGGTTGCGGTTTGTCCCCAGCCCCGGTTGGGGTTGTGTGGGTGGCAGCCAGTCGATGTGTCTCTCTTGCATTGAAGTTTCTCTCTCTCTCTCTTCCTCCCTATCTCCCTTCTGCTCTATCTCCCTCCCTATCCATTCTGCTCAAAAATTGTCCTCAGGTGAGGATTTAAAAAAAAAAAAGTATATTCAAATATTTTAAAACTATGTCATTTCTTCTATATTAAGAAAGCTACTGAAAGCATCATTTGAGTTTGAACTCCCTCTCTACCAGCAAAAACCTAACCAGACAAAAGAATCTTTAAAGGATTGAATTCATTATAAATCTTAAAAATTGCTCAGGCAAAACTTTTAATTTCTTAAGTTTCCCCTTATTTACGTTGCTCAGTCACAGTGGCCTTGCTGTTTTGCAAACACACCAAACACACGTCTGCCTCAGAGCCACTGTATCCACTGTTCCCGGGACATTTTTACAACAGATACCATCATGGCTTGTTGTACACTTTATTCAGACTTTTGCTCAAATGTCATCTCATTAGAAAGGGCTTCTATGAGTATTCTATATAAAACAGCCCCACCCCGCATTCTTACCCCCCAGATCCCATTTTGCTTTTCTTCCTAGCACTTTACTGCTTACCTATTGTTTATTATTTTTGTTATTTATTACTCTCTCCAACTAGACTATTAAAAACAAGAAATATAATTTATTTTACTCATGTTCTCCCATGCTCACCAAAAGAGTTTGAGGCAGGTAACACATTTAATACATCAAATCCTGCCTGAAATTATATTAAGTGTAATGTCAGTCATAGATGATTTTAAGGATTTAAAATACACATTTTTAAAGCCTCTAAACTTTGGCTCCCTCTATTATTCTTGGTATTTGCTTTTGCATTGCTTCCTCTGTTTTGTTTTTTCATTTCATTTTATTTTTTTTATCTTTATTGTTGAAAGCATTACAGATATCCCTCTTTTTTCCCCCCACTGACCCCCACTTCCCTGCTCCTGCGCCCCCTGCCTCCACCGCACTGTTGTTCGTGTCCACTGGTGATGCATATATGCATATCAGTTCTTCGGTTCATCTCTTTCGGCCCCCTAACCTCTTCCCTCTGAGGTTTGCTCTTGAGAAATGATGAAGTAAATCACAGAAAATTACAAAAATATTTATATAGTTCAAGATGGCTGTGCAGAGGCAAGCATGGAGTGAGGTTGGCAATTAGGAGGTTTTACAGCTTTTGACATTTTAAGACTGTGCTAGTTGCAGCTGGCTGAGGCCTATGTCCCCTCAGCCAGTTCTGAACTCCTGTGCAGCACCTCTCACTGCAGTTGAGACATGCCTGACAAGTGTTCAGGTTTTACAGCACTGCAACCACTGTATGTATTGTGAATATAAAATGCGATTTACAAATGGGTAGCAATCACATTACGATAAGCAAAACAGTGATGCCTAATATTCTAACCTGAGAACAAAGTTACTTGTTTGGAACAATGTACTGCAGTTTCTAACTTTGCAGGTGGTTATTATTGTTTTAGCTAAGAATGTATATGTCAAGTGCTTTATAATCATGAACATATCTGCACCCAGGCAATCCAGCTTTTGTTCTTATTTTATACTGTTATTTGATATGTAAATCATTATGGCACCAGATCACAATGAGGCTGAGATCAAAAGGGCACTCTGCACTGAGCAGAACCTTGAATTTCAGCAATGATCTTGGCTCAAAAGTCAGTGCACTGGGTTCTTCACTGGTCTGAATGATGCTCTCTGTTATAACTCATAAATGAGACTCAACAGAGAGAGGATGCACAATTTAACTAACAAGTTCTAGTGTCATGGAATTTTTTTTTCTTTAATATAGAGGCAATATATTTCTTCCATTTCCCTCTTTGAGACATCAAAAGCCTTTTACAATCAGGCCCCAGGCAACTGTTCCATATTTTACCTCTCTTCATTGCTTAGACTACTGTTGCATTCATACATTTATTATTTCAACTAATGAGCCTGAAGACTACTGACCTATTCACACTGTTAATAAAATACATAGAGTACTGAAAAACAGCCTAAAGTGTAAAGGGTATTACCCACCTATAGAAATGTCAGGCATAGCAGCAGTTAAATGTCTAGTCTCTCAAGTGGCAAAATGCAAATTCCAAATCCAATCCTGAGCATTCAAAGTGCATCAAACTACTGACTTCAAAAGGATACATTTTTTGGGGGAAATCTTTACAAAATATTAAGAGGCTATGATTCATGTGATACATAAACAACAACCTGAGCATGACAAATATATTTGACCTTTAAAGTAATAAAAACAAATGTAAAAAGAGTCTCTAGTTTTCTATTACTGCTAAGTTTATTTTCCTCTTAAGTTTCACCCCATTATGGTATAATAATCTCTCATTACTGCAGCATAATAATGCATAGTCTACATACTCCACCTATAGTTGTCTTGTGTCTGTTTAGTTTTATAGCAAGCAAGCAATTTGAGAATATGGTAATAAAGCCTCAATCACAGTAATGATGTATGATGGGCTGTAATTTCTCTGTGCTAATGGGTTACAAACAGTATTACAGTGATGACGGGAATCTCATTGATTCATTATATGACTGCAATAATATCAAAATGACTTAATATAGATCACTATTAAGTCATGCACATGCTACTAACAACCTCTATATTTCACTATATAGATATATAGGGAAATAAAATTAATACTAGTCTTTCTATATAAAAGTTCACACAGCACAAAACATTTTGTGTTGAGTACCCTAAATCAATGTTTAAAGTTGGAATTACTGCATTGAACTGGTTCTTTGAAAAGAAAACCATTGATTTTAATCTGCTTGAAGCAATCAATTACTCCCTGTCCTCTTTATTCCAAACTGTAATGAAAACTAAACTGCGTTGTCTTGAAAACTAAATGTGAAGATGATCATAAACAGAATTTAAACTCCATGGATTATTCATATCTACCCATTTAGATTTGCCATTTCCATTATGAGTACATTTGCCACGAGCATTTAATGGACATCTAAAAGGGAATTCATTAAAGCAGGAGCTGTTGGCAGCACTTATGGGCTTCAGACTGCTTTATGCTTGCCTTTAATAGCTCACTATTATAAAAGTGATATATTGTGTTCATCCCATTAGTAGTTTGCAGAAAGGTCTGCAAGAGATAACAAATCCTTCTGAATATTTTCAGAACTGAAAGTAAATCATTGTTTGTTTGTTTGAAGCATCATATTCTAACAATATACAATTTTAGTGTCTACTAAATTTAGTTGTTTCAAGCCAAATAAGATTTTAGTAATCACAGATACATTTATGAAGTAAGCACCACCTTTTTGAAATAGTCTATGGTTATTAACTTGAGACATTAGTAGCCTTCAGGCAATCTAACCAATTACTTGAAGGTATGGTAGGGATAACAGTACAACAAACATTTCTATGAGTTAATGACAAGACGTCACAAAAAGAAAAGCTAGGTAGAGTATTCCTATACAACTGCATGCTACCACTGTTCAGGAAGTATGGAAGAATTGTTCCTGGCATCTTAGATGCATTATAAGAGTTTCTTTGAAGAATGGCATTCATTGGTCTTTTTTCTTTTGTTCTACATGGACACAGAAAATAAACTTGAAGAAACCCAAAACATTTTAATGTTAAAGCTTATTAGAATAATGCAATTAAATTCTAACTAGGAAGGGAGAATAAGGAAAGGAACCCTAATTTTAGCATGTAATTTCTATAATGCCTAGGTCTAAACTATGCTTTATTCCAAACCTAACATAGTTTACTTAAAGATAATTTGAAGCTTATGGTGGGTTAGCAGCATGCCATCATATTAAAAAGGGCAGATCAATCCTAATACATGCAAGAGTCCAAAAGTCATTCATATACTTGGTTTTTAAATTCAATTACTTGTTTTTCATAGCAAATTTGTATAGTAAGGTAAATTAGCTAGCATGTCCTTTGTTACACATACCAGGTGTCTCTGCAATGTGCTAACTGGTAGAATAGAAATGCTATCATAAGTAACCTAAATCTATAAATTGGAAGTCTGTAAATCTCTGTGTAGACAATTATGAGCTGATCCCAGTATGACGTTTTAAAAACTAAAAATTGATCTTTTAAGTCTCTAAATTTTGAGTCATTCATTTATTGAAGCAGATGTTGCAATGACTTCACTGTTAAAACTAAGGAAATGCCTAAAGTTCATATATGCATCTACACAAAAAGCTACTGGTTCCTGTCCAAGAGAAATACCATGGAAATATTTAATACCCGGTAAATATTTTCTGTTCTTCTGCACATGTTACAATAAATACAAGGGGATTAAAAAACAACAACAAGGGATTTGTAGCCAACAAATTAGACCATACTAACTTAATTGTACTGATATGAAATCTAACAAACTACTTTATTTAGGTTCTAAATGGTAAAATATCAGGTGGTTCCTAATAATGAATGCTTGAAAAGTTGTTTTTCCAGACAAAGAAAAGTTCTCTTGCTCAAACTATGCTGACATTTTTGAGTAATAAACACAAAACAATACATTTCAAAAAGCCAATAAGAAAGAGGAACACAACCATTTAGCTTCATGGCTGTCACAATTCAGAGAGGAAGGCAATCTATCCCTCCCAGTGACTAGGAGTTGCTCTTTACTTAGCAAACTCACTGCAGTATGTTAATTTCAGTTTGTAACTTAAGAGTTATTTGGAATGTTAGCCAATGGAAGGAACTAAAAGCCTAATTTGTTCCCATCTACGAGTTGGCAAATGGCAGAGACTATGTATATTAGATTACAGCTACTTTTGTTTTCCTCACAATTAAATGCATATAGTGTCATTATCATGATGAAACAATCTATATTTTATAAAACAACTAATCTAATATGATATATAAAAGGTTACCTATAAAACAAATTACAAATATTGCACAAGTATACTTTGAAGAATAAACTATCAGTGTCAGAATACAAGGCAGACTGTATTTTCCCAAATTAATAAAAACCAAAACAACGCTTTTGAAAAATAAGTTGTCTTGAACAGAGCCTCCTAGTCACAGACCTAATTCACCTTCTACCTAAAAGACAGCATCAAGGTGCAAAGCTAGACTTCATTTAGCTAAGACCACTTGCCTGCAATAAATTTCTCTTTATAACTAGCATATGGAAGCTGGATACAGAACAGGGAATTTCTTGTCTTTCCTTAATCATTCTGAATTATTCTGACATTAAATGAAAGAATTCATGGCAAACCAGCAAAGACCTTCATGATAACCATGTATGTAAATGTTATGAATCTACTTCTGGTTTTCAAGACATCTACAAACACAGTTAAAAGCTATTAAAATTACAAACACACAAGATTGTATATGTTAAATAAGTTGTTCTATACTCTTAGAAGTTAAATGAAAATAGAGACAAAAATCAGTACTAAAACTACAACTAGAAAGACCTGTTTTAATATGTCTTTCTTTCTCGTCATATACACATACTCCTTTTAAGATTTCTGGAATTAAAAATGAGTAAGTATCCTCAAATGATTACATTATACAGCAAAAAAAAAAAAAAAAAAGTTAATGTAATTAATTATTAATAGTTCAGGTGGGCCCTTGAATTAATGGGTAATGAAATGAGCCTCTCTCTGTGAATTGGGAAACTTGAAAACACTAAGGCTGACTGATGCTAAGTGAGATCATGCCTGAATGTGACTTACCTGACCAGTAAAGGAATTGGCTTAAAATATATACTGACTTGCCCTCACCTGGACCCTTAGAGTGTGATCCCTGGTTCAGATGATGATGGATCAGATCGTTCTCAAGGAGGAAGAAACCCGAGTTGGATAGGTTTGCCACAAGCCCTTCACAGGAAGATGTCAGTCTTCTGTGCAAGACAAAAAGAAAAGAAAAAAAGGTACAGTGGCAGTGGATGAATTCTCCTTTCTTAGGAGAGGAAAAAAGTCAGGTATGCATATTCTCCATTAGCTACCTCTCTTCTATACACAGGCAAAGAAAGTCTCTGCAAAAGCTGGGAGAGACAAAAGTATCAAAAATCGAAATCATCTTGGAATGGAGATTAAAATAAGGAGGATGCTAATTATAACTTATCCTTTTCATGGTCCCTTAAAATTTAATTTTGGGACGACCAGTAATCAAAAGTTTGCTTTCATGGGCAAAGTAATTAGTCCTAGAATACTTTCTAAAAGTGCTTAAGTTTGGATATGGAAGATGTAAAAAACCCAGTGTCAATCAAAATGATAAAGTTATTTTCAGGTATTATAGGTACTCTAAGGGTGATATAAAGAATATATCTCTCCAGAGATCACATTACCTGGTGTTCCAGAGGTGAGTATTTGCTACGTCTCTAACACATTCCTATTGGGTTCTTCATAGATGTAAAATATCCTATTGCAGTTTCAAACAAGAATTCTATAAATGGTTTTCCTCAAAATTGGTGATTTTTTTTTTTTAATGTTAGGGTCTACATTAAAAAATATCATGTCAGTCTTTTTTATAGCTATGCACCCTTTTATTTTAGAAAATTAGTAAACTCCTGGATTTTACAATGTTTCTTTTGCCCTTCTAAACAGAATTAATTTTTGCTTTTTATTAAAAAATCATTTAGCTCTTTTTGTAGTGCTTTAAAAATCTAATATTGATTTAACTGCTCTCCTTCATAGTCAAGTTTGGAATTTCAATGTTCTGTATGTTATGGACATCATTTAATTTTTATTTAAAAAATCAATAAGCAAAAAATTCCTTTTCACTAGAGTGAGATGACACGTTGCGAGGTACTCACAATAAGACTGGCTGCAAAAGCCACTATGGAAAACAATATGGTGTCACCTCAAAAAATTAAAAATTGATCTTCCATTTGACCCAGTGATCCCACTTCTAGGAATATACCCTAAGAAGCATAAAACACCAATAAGAAAGAATATATGTACCCCCATCTTTGTAGCAGCACTATTTACAATAGCTAAGATCTGGAAACAGCCCAAGTGCCCATCAGTAGACGAATGGATCAAAAAGCTGTGGTACATATACACAATGGAGTACTATGCAGCTGTAAGAAAGAAAGATCTCTTATCCTTTGAGCCTACATGGAGGGACCTGGAAAGTATCATCCTAAGTGAAACAAGCCAAACAGAGAAAGACAAATTTCATATGATCTCACTTATTTGTGGAATATAATGAACATAACAGTTTGAGGAATGGGGTAGTCTCAGAGACGCGGAAGCGGGGTACAGACTGACAATCCCCTAAGGATTGGGGAGGTGGGGGAGGGATGAACCACAGAACTTATACGCATGTATGCATGAACAGTGGACATGGACAACAATCTGGGGAAGGGGCAGGGAGGGGAAGGGGAATCAGTGGGGGGAAAAAGGAGAATCATCTGTATCAAAAATTAATCAATAAACAAAAACAAAAACAAAAAAAGACTGGCTGCAAAAGTTCAATAGCTACTATAAAAATCTAATGGGCCAACGAAGAGCTGTTGAATTTATATGATATCAAAATCCTTTCCTCTGGTTCTCACCTCCAATTCTATAAAATAACCAGAACTGCTACATCTATGTTCTTCTGCATAGTTTGAGGCAAATTATAAAGTTGATCTCTATAAGGAAAATCACTAGATGAGGCTACAAAGTTTAGTACTTAAACTTAAGTATGAAAGGAAATTACTATGAAGCAAGGCTTGACGACAATATTATTATTATTCTTAATTATAATCTGATGCTACTGGGGTCAGTTCAAATGTTTTATGCATTCATTTTACATATACAAGTACATGAGGTTTTTTTTGTTTTGTTTTGTTTTGTTTTATGCAGGGAAGTTGTAAAACAAAATTCTAGAAAGGTGCTATAATACTTTTTGCAAAGCTCACAAGTAGAAGGGGCAAAGTTTTTAGCTTTACCAAAATTATCATGGGTAATTCCATTTATACCACATGAGCATTATAAGGAGCCAAGATGCTCCGTGGTAAAAATGAGTTTGCCAGCACTGCAAGAGAAGACAACGATGAATTCTTCATGATGCTAATATCTCATGGAAGTAGCTGAATCTTTACGATTCCTAAGCCATGCAGTAATCACAGAACGAAGCTAAGCTACAATCTCAAAGCAGTGTCTTGCCTTACGTGATAAACTCATTTAGAGAACTCTTAAAGATCCATCCAAGTTTTACTACATGTTCTAAGGTAGAAAACATGCAAAACATTACATTATTTAATGTGAATTTGTGAGTAATTTCTCATCTTAGAATTAAAACTGTCGATGACAACAAAGAAATAAACTGAACATTCAGTGGAATAAGTTCATATGTAACCTGGATATACTTTCTGCACAGCTATTCTAGAGCATGCCTTCAAAGACTGAAACCAAATTACTAAATTTCAGAATTTCTTCAGTATTTTACAGATGTTTGGAAATCTAAGAAAGACATGCACGTCTACATTCACTATGTGAATATTAACTATTGAGGAATATGTGTGCTAGTATGAATAGATACTAACTTTCATCCCTTTGGTTAAATGAAGAGTAAAGGGAGAAAATTAGCGGGAAAGCTAGAAATTGCAGGAATTTCCCCAGTAATAATCTGGTTCTGAGGCTGTATGAGAACATGCAAGTGAAGAAAGACCAAGTGGGTTTGAATCATGGCTCTCTCACGTACAAGTGAAATAACCTCTCTAAGCCTCAGTTTCCCCACATGGAAATGAGGATAGGGCTAACTACCTTGTAGGGTTGTTGTGAGGATTAAAATAAGATCGGGCATGTAGCACAGTGAATAGCAAGCACATGGAAGTTGCTCAATAAATGGCTGTTATTACCATTACTTTTACCAAATTTCTACCAAGAAATTTAAAAGTCTGTCAAAGAGAAATGACTAATTATATAAGGGTTTCATGATTATTAAAATATATAATCTCCTTATTTATTTCATTTCACAAGTATTTACTGACAGTTCACAATAGGTGCTGAGGATGCAATGGTGAACAAAACAAACACAACTCTTTCCCTTATTAGGTTTATAGTTTTGTGAGGAAGACAGACAAATAATTACATTAACTATAAATTAATCATAGTGTGATAGGTGCTTTGAAGACTACAGACCAAGTAATATGACTTCCTAGGCCTGGAGATGGGAAAGAACGGTGAAGAATGGCTGCCAGAAAAAACAGTGTAAGAAGTAGCTAGGCAAAGAAGAGAGATCATTCCAGGTTGAAGAAACAATCAGTGGAAAGGCCCTGGGAAAGTATTTGAAGAATTCAAGAATCAAAACAATGCCAGAGGACCTACAGGAAAGAGAAAAAAAGAAAAATGCTATAGAATAAGGCCAAGGAGGGAGATAGAAGACAGTTTTTTAGTAGATGCTATAAGCGACAAAAAAGATTTTGGCCTTTATCTTGAAAGCCATGGGAACCCACTGATTTTCATTTTAAAACAATCACTTTGCTAAGGGATCTGATGTACCACTTTGAGAGATGCAAAAATGCACCTAGGTAGACCAGTAGGAAACTGCCACAAAGGCCATGAAGAGATGGCCTGAACTAGGAACATGCTAATACAGACAAAATTATACAAAAATCAAATACCTAGGAGTTTAAAACTGAAGAGTCTTCGCAGCTACAATGATGAGTTCTAGGTTATCGACATGAGCACCAGGTGTCATTTACTGAATAGAGAAATAAAAAGGCAAAGCGACTTTTGGAGGGGATGTTATAAATTCTATTTAGAGTCTTTGACTATAAAATTGGACAAACAAATGTCAAGTATACAGTTGGATAGGCAAGCCTAAAGCTCAGAAGACAGGCCTACCTACAGATTTCTATTTGGAGTCCTCAGTAAACAGATGGTAACTGAAGACACAAGAGTGCAGGAGAACAGAGAAAACAGAGCAGACAGACATGAAGACCTGTAAGACTAGCCCTACAAAACTCCAACGTTTACAGGTCGGATTTAGGAAAATTTGTACATAAAGAAGCTGAGAAAGAACTCTGAGGGAGCTAATTTTTTTTTAACGTAGAAGAGAATGAACTAGAAAAAGCTGAAAGAATGAACGTGAACAGGCTGAGAAATGAGCAGGTGATGAGGGCACAGCGACAAGTGGAACAGACACACTTCTAAGAGGCCTGGTTATGAAAGGGAGTAAATAATGAGGTAGTAACCAAGCGGGGAGCTGTGTGCTTTCTCAGTGGGGAAGTTGGCTGGGTCATGGGTCAAAGTCCAACAGTTTACAGCTCCACTGCAGCTGGGGGCCAAGCTGGTGGCAGCAAGTCAGGCCAGGGAAGGCCTGGCATGTGGTAGATGCTTCAAGTAAAAGCTGAGTGTTGGGATCTTCTTTAAATTCCGGGAGCTACTTCAAACATGTTCATAAGGAACCGCAAGCACTATCAAATAAATGGTTGTTCAGTAAAATTACTGCACCATTTTAAGGCAGTTCCAAAATGAATATGCACATGAACGCAGAATATATCTGCTGAGATGTAGCTCTAGAATCAAAATAGACATTCATCAAAGCTTCTGAACATCTATCATAAAAATGGATCACTTCCTTGTTTGGGATAATTGGAAAGCTACCAGATGAAATATGAAGCTATATAAGACATCTTACACGATGGGAGAAATTAAAACGTAACCATTCTTTCACCTGATCATATCTGCAGTAAGAATACACGTTCCAGTTTTTAAGAGTATTCTTCAATTTAGAATCTAAGTAAAATCAGTTTGTGAAAAAAGTCCAAGTTAGAAAGTTATGATTTCAGCATGAGAAAAACAATAATAAAAAGCATGAGTTAACTGAAAATAGAACAGCAAATAATGATTTAAAAGACAATATATTTTTATCACTTTCTCTTTAGATTTGAACACTGAACATTTC